TGTAACATGTTTCTAAATTCTCTTTTTGATCTTCTACTAATCCTAAGTCAGCTTTAGTGACTATATGTTGTTGTATGTATATGTTGATATATATTCTACTTTCTTGTTGATAGTTTATGATCAACAAAAATGATGACATTTATTGGCCTTCAAGTATCAGACTTGGATTGCAATAATAAATAAACTAGCTCATGTTTAGTCTCCTTTTTTTTTATTTTTTATTAACTAAGTTAACAAACCTATAAATGAACTCGTTCAAGTTCATTTAGTAAATTAGGCAGCATTTCTGCACAGTAGAACCCCATATTTCACCATTTAAATGTATGATCATTTATAGCGAGAACTGGAAAATATTCACTGCAGTCAAGGTATAATAGATGTGCACTGAAGCCGTTATTTAGCCAAACTACACAGAACTTCAGAGACATAGAGGAACATTCAGGTTCTGCTGAAAAGATCTGGATCCAAAATTGTTTCTTCTGTTCCTCATTCAGTAGCAGCAAGATAGCTCGGATGCTTTAACTCTACGTGTCACTTTATACTTGCGGTAGACGTGGCTGACGTACGGACTTGTTTATTAAGTCTGTGTGGGCACAGTTTGCACTAAAAACCCAAGTTGTTGTTTTTTTTGTCCAAGTCTATCTTTGTTAGTTCATGAATCTCTGCGTTCTGCTAAACTGGCATCAGAAATACCAGCAGATAAACATAGAAAATAGCAAATGTGCAGAACCCTTACAAGAATTACCATTTCTAGATGTTCAAGTTAAAGAAATGACTGGTTGGACTAAACATACACTTAATATTTGGAATAAAATACGGTCATCATACAGATTGCCCAAGAGTCTTTCAGCACTGACAAACATTGGTTTAATGAAAACATTTCTCCCCAACGTATTGGATAATGGCTTTAAAAAATAGACAAAATATAACATACCTATATCAACTGATCAAAGATAGCAATATTAAAACATTTGAGAAACTAAAGGTTGACTTTGGTCTCCCCAATACAGACTTTTTTAGATATTTGCAACTGAGATCATTTCTAATGTCCCATAAAGACTGGGAAAAAATTCTACATTCCAATCCTATAGAACAATTTCTTGTTAAACAAGTGATCAATGAAGACAAAAAAAAATATTGGTAATTTGTATATTTTCATCTCTTGTAACTCACTAAATATTAAACAAAGATGGGAAGCAGAGACCTCAAAGAATGAACGAGACTTGGAAAGAAATATGTACGGAGTCACACCTTGTCACAAATTCAAACACTTGGCGAGAATTCAAATGGAAAGCTGTAACTAGATTTTTTAGAACACCAGCTATATCAGCTAAAATGGGGCCGATGTATTCAGGATTAAGTTGGCGAAAATGTGGAACTGATAATGCTAATCATACACACATATTTTGGCAATGCACTAATGAAATCTGTTTTGGCAATACATTTTTGATGCCCTAAAAGTAATCTTCAAACAGGAAATTCCATTCAATATAGACATCGCCTTATTGGGAGTAACACCTACAACTATTATTACACGAGATGAAAAATATCTTTTGAATATATTATTAACAGCTGCTCTAAAATGTACAACAATCAGATGACTCAAACCTGAGCCCCCTTCCTACAATATATGGATTCAGAAGGACTGGGATATATACCAAATGGAACAGATAACATATTCTCTCCACATTCACTAAACGTTGGAAACCTGTCGTACCTTTAATGATGCAATGATTTTCTTTTCTTTTTTTCCCTAACTCTCAAAGACCGGAACCTGTACCTCTCATACTCTTGAAATCACTCTGTTGTTTGTGTTCTGTATTTTATGTTTAAAAGTGTAAAAATACACATGTACATTCGTACCTCAGTACTAGCAGTAGACATGCTGCTCTGTCCGGCTGTTTTCCGTAAGAAGGGCCATAAAAGCTGACCAATGAAAACTGACCTATCTAATGAAAAGTGTCGTTATCAATTAATCGCTGTGTGTGTGTCATTAATTATTCTCAGAGTGAACGCCGCTCCTATTCATGTCAATGACTTCAAAGCTGATCAGTTCACCATTCATTTAAAATATGAAGTATTCAATGAACGTCATTCACTGAACAGGCTCATGCACAACACAGATCAGGACCATATTGTAATGAGACAATTACAGGTAAGACAATAGGGGGAAACTCTATTTACAAAGCCTCTGAGGAGCAGCGGCTGCTGCAGAGAGAGAAGTACATGTAGATTCTCAGTCAGAGCCTCTGATCAAATGCCAGATTCATTTAATGATCGCAGAGGCTATGAAAAGTGTTGGAAATCTGTCAGATGTAGCACCACATATAAAAGTGGTCCAATTTACTTATATCAGGTTGAATTTGGGCCTGCCAGGAAAAGACAGGTCGCACTGAACTGCTGAGTGACTGAAGCCTAACAGTCTGATCAATTGGTCAAATATATTTGAGCATAATTAGAATTTAAACTCCTGACGCTTAAATATATATACATAAAAAAATGTAATATTGTATTTTAAGTTTTCTTTAATGCACTCAGCAATACTGCAATGGCAACCTAATCATCTCCAATGAAATTTATAAAATTTCTTATCTTATAGGCTGCATACAAACTTTCTATGATGCTGTTATGATTTAAAGTTGATGTTTAAAGCCCAGCAGATATCAGGGTCCAACTATCCCCCATCAGAGAGGTAATGAAGCCTTGCTGGAGAGCAGAGATCAAACACAAAGCACATATGCTTTATTAGTAGCAGAGATCACAGAAATTCAGGTTCTGCTGAAAGACCAACTGGTTGCCATGACAGCGGGACAGTGACACTGCTGCAGATTGATTACTTGTCTGGAGAAGAAGTCAGGAAAGTTGAAGCCGTCTGCCGTTCTTCACATGTTTCAGTCTAAACTAATGGGGGAAATCGATTCCCAAGGTGGGATTTCTGGCCCAGGTTTCCTGCTTTAACAGGCACTTTGACTGCGAGGTGTGAGAGAGAGGGCACAGGGTGAGCGCGGGGGAGTTTCCAAACTATAAGGTCACTGATAATGGTGCTGGAGTGAATAATGGCCCCACATGGATCAAATATGTTCAAAACTGTTTAACCTGCAGGAGGAAGACAGGAATGAAAACCTAAAAGGTCTCTAAAGAATATTACACATTTAAGCCTATTAGAAGTTAGATTATCGTGAAGAATGTTCAACATCTACTTTACTCTCATTGTTTTGTTTTCCTTTTATCCGCATATCCTATAAAACAAATAAAATTAAGATTATTTACTCCTAGAGCTAGCAAAGATGGAGATCAATCAATTTTCTTTTTTTTTTTTTTACAAATGCCAATTAATTTATAAATCAGTCTAACCGATCCCCGATAGGTGCTATTGATGTTTGCATCGATTCCTTAGGCATATATTGATTTTTCTTTCTCAATCTACATTATAAAAATAATCTGACAATCTATTGATGTTTTGTTTGTTTTTTCAATAAATCAGTCTTCTTTGTTTAATACTTGAGATTTGTTTTGTGTCAATTTTATCATGAAAATGGAGGAAAAGGAATCAGCTTCAAGAATTGACCCCAAAAATATTGTCAGCTTATATTTGGGATCGGTTAGACCAGTGGTCTGCAGGTTTTACAAGACAAACCAAATACTTATAATTCAGCTTAATAAAAGTCGTTCAGAGTGTCAAGGGTTATGGGAACTGTTTATTTTTATTAAATATTATTTTTTGTTAAATATCTTCCAAACGTAATCTTTTGCCATTTTAAAGAAAATTAAAGTTTTTGTACTTTAGGTTTCAAAATAAGAAAAAAGAAAAAAACATTTTATAAGGAGGAATCATTGGGTTCCTCTAGATCAGGGGTAACCAATTAAAACTCAGGGGGGTCCGAATAAAGAAAATTATCAACCAGTAAAGGTCCGGAGTCTTTTTTAATTATAACCCATTACTTTAAACAGAATTTAACACTGAAATAACATGAGGTTTTTATGAATCCATGTTATTGTTTTTAAAATCTAAAGTGTTTTTTAAGTAGAACAATCGTTTTTGGTATATACACAATTTCCTGATTTAAACATTTTATTAAACACCTGAACTTAACGTTTGTTTGTTATTTTCTTTCTTTTCTATGGTTTAATGAGAGCAGAGGGCTTTATGCCGCCCTGCAAGGCTTTAAACCTGGGTTTGAATGGAGACAAAGCCATTCTAAAGCACATATCATAATGCTCATTTTGAGCCTGGATCCATGTTTATTTTTGATTCTGTTCATGGTGGGGAATCCTGCTTCACAGCAGCAGGTTGATTCAAACATCCTCTAAATGTGCAGGATCTTCTTTGAGCACCATTTCACTTTTCTGTCACCAGTTCACCGCAGTTCTTCCAGCAGTCCACACTTTCTCTGCTCTCTTTTTCTAATCATCTTCTCTTTCTTTCCCATCGCCCGGCTTGTCACAGGTTTGCCTGCTGTGTCTAAAAGTAGCAGCAGCAGCAACCCAGACTGACAGCAGCTCATTGGATAATTTCTATCACGTGTAGCCTGGTCCTGGACGGGCTTTACCGTATTAACAGAAGAAGCGGCATAAGCGAAGTTAGACACTGTCGTTGAACAACATGCAGTAATATATGAATGTTTTAAATCAGGTTGGGTCCGGATTAGCCAGCAGGTGGGTCCGGATCCAGACCGCGGTCTGCTAATACGTGACCTTTGCTCTATAGAATATAATTTGTTGAAAAATGTATAACAGAAAAGAAAAAAAACTAAAGATTATTACAAAAAAGTAGATGGAAATACATCTCCAGTTCTTTTAATGTAATTTGGGAACATTTAGTTAGAATATCCGTTCAAAAACCTGGAGCTTCTAAGAATGCAATCTGTTATATTTTCTTCAAAACTATTAGTTGTTAATCATTAACAGCCATTTTAAAGGGTCCAGAGTGCCATTGGTGTCTCTGAACGTTCGACTGTTAAGATCATCGGTATCCATCGACCTCAACTTTCAACACTCACCAAAGAGCAGGCAGCTGTATGAGCTTCCCATAGATGGCTGTGCTGAAGGCAGGGATGATGGAGATGAGAGGCAGAAAGCTCCCCGTGCGGTCCTGGCATGTTAAGCCCGCCTGGAACCCAAACACCTGCACAGACGAGGGGCAGGTTAAAAACAAGAAGGGGTTAAAAAAAAAAACAGAAACAAAACAAAAGCAGAGGACTAAAATCACACTGTTGAATAAAACCTAGTAATGACCCATATTCCATTTAAATTACAATCTGCAAATCCAAAAAGTTAATCTACGACTTCATGCCCCCCACCCAAACACACACCCTAGTAGAGTCACTTCTCCATTATGACCTTGTAAAGCAAACAACCACTTTGAGCTCCTACCAATAATCTTGCTAAAGTGAGGAATTAGCTGACCCCTCCCCTGATGACAGATACCATGTCACCAACAGAAAGCATCAATAAAGGTAGATTAAGATAAGCTCTTTTAAACCACTTCCTGAATTAGGTGAATTGCCACCAGAGTGACCTCCACCCTTGTTCTGGTCCGGCTGCCAAAATCCAGAGGCAGAGTTAATAACACCGACAGGGATGGGTCACCAGGATCCTGGGCGAGTGGCCAGCTGACTGTTAACCTTGCTGTGACCCTTTGATAAGGACGTCCAGAAAGACATCCCGTAAACATCCTGCTTTTAAAAACAACCTGGAAGACTGGACGGGGTCAAACCAGCTCGTTTTTTTAGAAAAACTTAACACTTTATATAATTCGGAAAGAATTTTGTTCAAACAGAAAATTATTTTATTTTCTATTAGAAAAAAAAAAGAAGAAACAAACGTGAGCAAAAGTGAGGCTGAATCCTCTTTAAATGTGCGGACTATGCTGGATAGATGGGACCAAACTAATTTAGAGGTTAAACTTTTCTATATATTTCATCTGCTGATCATGATAATTGTTGACAACAATTACTGTATTTCATTCATCTTTTTTCTTGCTTCTGATCTTTGGTTCATCTTGATACAAACATAGAAACCAGAGTATGATGAGACTGGTGAGACAATATTTAATTTCTAATATGGAGAGTGAGAATATCAACCAGAAACAGAAAAGTAACTAAAACATTCAGGGTAGAAACCAGAGTAAGCATTTGATATTTCAGCAGAGTATATTGCACCTCATTACATAAACCGTTCCTTTAGGTTTGTTGCTTGACAGTTAGCAATAAAAAGCTCTTGCTACCTCTGATGCTAGCTGTGCTTTTCTCACAGATTGAGGTGAATAAACTGAATGAGGTGTGAAATGTTGGCACATAACAGATTTATATGAGCCAGAGGCTTGAATAAAAATCCCTCAGGAGTTTTTAGGAAAACTGTTGATAAACGGCAGCGCTAACCTAGCGCTCTGCTAACCGATAAATGCCATCACATCAGAAAAAGTTGATGACAACTGCAAAATTCTAACTGCCTCGATTTCACAAAAGGTTTTGGCTTTTCCAGAAAAAAAAAAAATGTAGCCACCAATACCCTTGTCAAACTTTGACGATTTAGACCAAACGTATGCCTGACGTATGGAAAATCTTTCAAAAACGCTGGCATTCATTGGATAAGTTATGAGCATGCTGAAGTACGCTGAAGCACAACGGCACATATTGACGTACGGCAAGTATGTTGAGAAACTTTGAGCATTTGATGTGTTCCGTACGACCGCTGGACGCGTTTCTAACTTACAGCTACTCTATAATACCATATCGGCAGCGTTTTGGTATAAAGGAGGTTCACTGGAGGAAACTATCTGTTATCATCCAGGCTTCATCCCCACCATAGGGTGACGTGAATGTGAGAGTGATGGATGCTCCCTGCATTCACGCCCACTACCAACAAACTTCCTAGCAGACATGAAACTGAATCTGCTGCAACTGCAAACCTTCTTTCTTTTTCTTTAAAATTAGAATTATTTTCTTTTTATTATTATTAATTATTTTCTTTTTTTTGACGGCAGCTAGAGGAACGCCAGTTTTTTTTACATTGGGCCCTTGATTTTACGTTATTACATCATGTTCTTCTCACTCATATGAGTTTTGTATCATTTGGAGCCGTTCTAAAGATATTCCGTTAGGTTATATCCAAGTAACGTCTTCCTATAGGCAACGACTTGAAGGCACAAACTAAACTGTTCATAATTTATTCTTTATGGTACGCCAGCATTCATAATATTTAGGCGAATCACTGTCCCCCAGACATGCGCGGTTATATTTTTTAGATTTATATCTTTTAAAAACAAAGCGGCGTGTGTATGACATCATCCGCACGAGCCGGCTACCATTCATTCCTCCTGTCCTTTGAGCTGCTGCTAGTTTTACTCCCATGCCTGGAAGATGTCTAGTGCTAATACCACAAATGATCTCGCTCTCCAAATGGGACTGAACGATTCAGATTAGCTAGCCAAATGAATAGAAGGGGTAGAGCATTTTTTTTTTTTAAGTCCAGCGCGCGGATAACGTCATACACACTCCGCTTTGTTTTTAAAAGATATAAATCTAAAAAATATAACCGCGGATGTCTGTGGGACAGTGATTCGCCTATATGTTATGAATACCGCCGTACCATAAAGAATAAATTATGAACAGTTTAGTTTACGCCTTCAAGTCGTTTGCTGATAGGAACACGTAACTTGGATATAACCTAACGGAATATCTTCAGATCAGCTTCAAATGACACAAAACTTATATGGGTTAGTAGAACATGATGTCATAACGTAAAAAAAAGGGCCAAATGTAAAAAAAACAAAATTCTCCTTTAATACAGCGATCAAAGACATCTTTTTATGCAGGACAGGCGCCTCCGGGTGCATTGCTTCCCCCCTCAGGACACTGGCTTGTGCATCATTTCATGGGCATTACGCTGCCGTGCATAAAGCATAACTTAGGCTGTCGTTGGACATAAGCTCTGGACTCGTTATGAATACTCTATGTATACACCCAAAATTGCAAAAGTACATAGAAAGTTCAGCGTATCTCAGTGTTTTAGGAGATTCCGTGACGTCAGGCATACGCTGTCTAAATCGGTAAGGTGTGACAGGGCCCTAAACGGAAGATGGAAACCCAGGTTTCCCGAATGGCAAATGGTATACCAAACATTTATGTCACATGACTGATTGGTTGTTAATGCTGTCAGCGTCTTACCAGACCTTCTCATATAAGTTGCTTTTCTTGCTCTAAGGCTCCTGATGCATCATTGCAGAACAGGACGGAGCAATTCTAGCCTTCCAAACAGGTTTCTAAAAACTCTGAGATGTGTGGTTCATAACAGTTCTAAACCTTTTCTTTCTGATAATAACAACCATGTGTAACCTCAGCTTGTGATGAAATATAATTTTGCATTATTTGCTCCAAACCAGCTGATTTCAATTTTTTTTTAAGTCTGCTTAAAATTTGCAAGATACTGAATGAAACAAAGCAGCCGTTTCTCTCAGCAGGGTATCATAATACAGCGATTTCCTCTAATGTATGTCTCAGAGCAGCAACTATAAAAAATAAATTAAAGCACAGCTTTCTTACAGCAGAAACACAACTCAGTAGATGTGAAACCCTGAAGATCAACGATCCACTGTTGGTCATTAAGAACGATATTCACTCCTCGGATTTTACCTCCAAATACAAAGGAGTTGCCAAGGTCACACAAAGGTCATACGTGTCATTCCAAAGAGCTGTTAAGTGTCAGGTAATAAAGCAGAGATCTGAATTAGTGGGCTTTCCGTTTTTAATTTAAAACTGGTTGATGAAAAAGATATTCTTTTCAGGAAATACCCAAATCAATATTGTTAATCTTGAATGCCTGTTGAACTGTTGAATATATGTAATAGCTGTAAGATCTACCTCTAATCAAGTGTTTCTAACCTTCTTTGACTAATGTACCCCTTTGAACATTTTTTCTTACCATGAGTACCCCTCAGTCAAAAGTATTGATGATTGCCCAAAAGTGGAATGGACAATAACTAATTAAAAGATAAGGAGTATTTTATTTAATCTTTTTAACTTGAGCATTTAATTATTTGGCATGTTATTCTTTCCAACATATAAAAAACCAACATAAATATGGTACCCAAAAGAGGGAAAGGAATCAAAATAAATACAAAATAAAACCATATTATAAATCTGCCTTTATAAAACTGGAGGTCCTCTGAGTAAGTCCCCTTTATTCACATTACAAGTTAATGAATTGGAAACAATTACAGAACAAAAGTTATAGTCAGACTGGCTCCATTTGTTTGACTTTAATATCATCATTAATGACACCTGAGCTCGCTTTGATGAGATCAGGTTGTGATAAAACAGCTGATCCCAGCCTGTTCTCTACATCCAGCCGTTCCTCTGCTTGGTTTTGATGTGTGTCAAAGCTGAAGGTGAACTTAAAACTTTTTAGAATAACTTAATTTTTGGTTGAAAAAAGCTTGTTTCATTTTTCAGGTGGGTCCTCACAAAGCAGAACAGATTCCAGCCCTATTTTATTTAATTCCATGAGAAATGCAATATTTTCATGTACCTCTTACAATGCACTTGCATACCACTAGGGTGCATTGAGCATCGCAAGTGCATTGCGATGGAATCGGTTCGATTATGTAGCTGAAGTAGTGTGAGCTAAATTAGGCATTCCTTCATATTCTGCGGCTCACCTTGAGGTAGAGATGTGCATAGCAGTGATGCAGCAGGTTGTCTGGGGGCTGGCTAAGGCTGCTGACGGTACTGACCAGCTCTGGACCGTACATTGGGACAGAGTGGTCAAAATTCACCCTTTCAACCTGAAACTGAACGGAGGGTAGCGGGTGCAGCGGCTGAAACACTGGAACAGAGGCCGGTCTTGGAGTAGCCTTAAAAAAAAAAAAAACAAGGATGTTGACACTGAACATTTACCAGACCTGAGAAGAACATTAAAAGGTCTCTAGCAGTCTGATCGGGAGCTACCTTATATCCCATAATGACGGGAAGAAGGGTGTGAAGAAGGTTGAACTCCGCCATTGAGACAGTCACAGAGACTTGGAGCAGAGTGACGGAAGTGAGTCTGGTCGGGATGAACTCCTCTAAACGAGAAATCTCCTCTGGGGTTGATGGACCATGGCACGCCTCAGTTACTTCTGAAAACAAACAAAAAAATGCTTTATTAAGAAGATTAAGAAAGAAGAATTGAATTGTTCATAACATTAAAGGCACGATCTTATGAAAACGTAAAGAAAGAATGATCATCAAAGCAGGGCATACACTGTGAGATATTTTCAATCATTGCACGGAGCTACAGCTTAAACTGTACGACGAAACCACAGGGCTTCAACAGCAGGATTTGCCTACAAACACCCTACGACTCAAACATGTTTGATTTTCTACAGATCTTACGATTCCTGATCGGGGGGTGGTCGTGAGAGGCTAATCCGCCCTTGTTACCTCCCGTACACTACACGACGTAGGACGAAACTCGGACCGATCCAAAAAATTCTCGCACAACTGGAAAATCGGCTTGCAAAAGGCAACAAATCGTATAGTGTATGCCAGCCTAAAGTCGTAGGGAAACGGCTGTTCCAACCATTGTATTTCCAAATTCTCCGGAGCGGTGCCCTACTTTACACGAGTGAATAAAGTGAATTTAAATTGGTCGTTTATCAAGAGGGTGGGATATTTGTGGGGGAAGGTTCGCAAGCAAGTTTGGTTGTGGCTGGATTCTTCAAAGCATCTTGCTAACCAGTTAGTACCTTAGTGCTAGTAGGTTCCCAATGGGAAATTCCATTGGGACCAAGTAGCACTAAATTGGTGACTTAGAAACGACACTGTCAAGGAACGCTATGGACAGAGGAAACATGCAAGAGGAGGAGAGTTTAGTGTCGGAGGTCGTGGATGAGTCTCCTCTGTCATCCATTTTTTATTTAGAGGAGGAAAGCGGGGACAAAGATGTTGTGGAAGAGGACGCCAGGGCGGCAGAAGCTTGGTTTGGTGTAGAAGGCTTACAGCCGTACATGTTTGAGCCCTTGCCTCGCAACACTGCCAGTTCTGTTAGCTCTACGCCTGCTGAAGACACAGACGCCCATCCCCGGGAACACTGGGACGGAACTCTATGGGAAAGGAAATGATTCTGATTTCTTATTTCAACCGTTGCGTATATTAGCTGCGACATATGAATCAAGATACTATGACCAAAAATTATTTGATTGACAGATGACAGTTGCAATATGATTGGCCTAAATGTTTAAGCCAGAATGATTTGACATTTAAACATGACTTCCATTTGAATATCTGTTGGCTTCAGACTTCCTTAGTTTGCAGAGTCACTCCTTTCATATGAGTCTTGAAGAAAGGATTATGTCAGCAGACATGATGGATATGAAGACTAAGAAAAGTAAGCGAACCTTGCTGTGGTTTGCAATAAGGCTCATATTCATGATCCATGGCACAGGTGATCATCTTGAGGATGCGGTGGACGGCACTACTGTGCAGCCTGATGTCCAGAGGTCCGACCACCAGCCTCTTCACGGAGATCTCTTGAGCTGCAGGAACCAACTCCTCTGTAGTCAACGCAGCAAAGTCCTGATCTATAAAGATGTTAAAAAAATTAACAAAAGAATATGCAGAATTTCAACATTTTGCAAACATTTTACCAAGTACTGTAGAAAAAAAAATGAAATAATTCAATTTATAAATTTCTTTGCCGCCTCAATATTTGCAGCGATCCCTGTAATAACATTTCAAAGATATCTGTGGTGCAACCCAGCAGCAGGGAGCTGCACACACCGCCTGAACAGCCAGTGATGGAAAATCCAAATGTCCTGTTCTTTCACACAGCTGTCCCTCCATTCATCTCAGACCCGTGTTCCAGAGGTCCGCTTAAAAGACCAGGCTCCCCAGCAATAGAAAAAAAAAAAAACAGAGAAATTAAAAATAAAGAAGGGGGTGGAAGAATGGCAGAGAGACAGAGAGGGTCAGGACTCGCTTTATTCCCACTAGATTCCTGCAATAAGTTGAACACTACAGCCTTAAGTTTTGGTGGAAAAAGGCTTGAGAGGAAATGTTTGAAACTTATAAAAGGGGACAGGCATGGATTAGGCCTAATATTACCCATATGGCCAAAGTTTGAAAGCTCAACAGAGTGATGAGGAATTAGCAACCATTTACTCTCCTACATTCTTTAGATTACAAATAAATGTGATCTACGCATCACTCTGGGGTGGATTTAACAGGAAACATGACCTGATTGGGTGTCGGGTGTTTGGTTTGTCACAGTTTCTATTGTATGGAGTACATTTGGTTTCCTTGGAATGAAAATAAAAAAAAAACAATGCAATCAAAAAATCTATTCTTTTTTTGAGTGTAACTTCACAGTTTTCTCATATTCCTTTTTTTATTTTTCATATTTTACTTTTCAAATGTTATCTTACAAATTGAACTCTTTTTTTTTTTTTATTGCATTTTACAACTCACATCCTTGTCAGTCCAGGAGTGAAGCTGCATTTATATTGGTCTGCTGGACGTCAGCAATAAAGTCGCAGCTTAAAGTCGTAGGGAAGCGGCTGTTCCAACTGTTGCATTTCCAAATTCTCCCAGTGGTGCAAAACTTTACACTAGTAAATAAAGTGAATGTGATTTGTTGATTATCAAGGGGGCGGGATTGTTGAGGTGGAAGGTTCACAAGCTTTTTGGTTGTGGCCGGTTTGTCGGAAGCATCTTGCTAACCAGTTAGCAACTTAGTGCTAGTAGTTTCCCAATGGGAAATTCCATTGGGACCAAGTAGCACTAAATTGGTGACTTAGAAACAAAAAGTTAAGGAACGCTATGGACAGAGGAAACATGCTAGAGGAGGAGAGTTTAGTGTCGGAGGTCGTGGATGAGTCTCCTCCGTCATCCATTTTTTATTTAGAGGAGGAAAGCGGGGACAAAGATGTTTTGGAAGAGGACGCCAGGGCAGCAGAAGCTTGGTTTGGTGTAGAAGGCTTACAGCCGTACATGTTTGAGCCCTTTCCTCGCAACGCTGCCAGTTCTGTTAGCTCTACGCCTGATGAAGACACAGACGTCCATCCCCGTGAACACTGGGACGGAACTCAATGGGAAAGGAAATGATTCTTATTTCTTATTTCAACCGTTTTTAGATTTTAGGACAGGATTTTTGTTTTTTAATAGAAATTTTCTAAATTTTGGGACAATATCATCTGATTAAGAGTACATTTATATACCTGTTTAATCCAGAATGATTGGGCAGTTAAATATGACTTCCGTACAACTGTAAAGAGAATGCAATGTGTAAAAAGCAATTAGAAAAGAATCCAATTTGTAAAAAGCTATCTAAAAAAAGAGAAATCAGAAGAAAATCTAATCTGAAACTTAAATGTGTAAGAAATATAATTTGAGAAAACAGCGACAATGAAACCAAATTACTTTCGTCGGGATGCAGAGTCATTTGTTTGGTTAAAGCTGGATTGGTTTATGTTCATTAAGATTCCCTCCAACAGACGAGAGCGACCATAGCTGCCGCATGGAGAAAAAAAAATTATCTATGTAGAAATATGTTTTATAACCACTGTTTTCCATTTAGATAATCATCCCTGGTTGGAAACAATCAACAGGAAAACAATTTAAACAGAAAGTTATCGTCCATGTTTAGTTTGCTGAGGATACTGTCTGGACTACTGACTGCCACTGCGTAAAATAGAGGCCAACAAGGCAAAAGAGATTTTTATCAACCAAACAAAAATCTTCCAGCCAGGAAAATCAGCAAAGAGATGTTTTTGGTCCAAATCTAACATTTCCAATTGAAGGAAAGACGGTTTATCTATTAATTGGATCTTCAGATCTGCTAAGTGCTGCTGCTGCTAAGGAATGAGGAACTTTACCCATCATACGACTTCTGCCAGGAAGAGTGACATCTAATTAGGCAAGTGGGGCCAATTCACTTTCTCAACAGCTTACAGGTAAAAACAAGGGGGGGGGCATTGTTTCAACAAGCAATAAGGAAAGAGAAACTCAAATATGTGTCAGCCTAGACTAAACACTTCTGACAGTTGCCCCCAGGTAAGTTTGGGGTGAGAGTGAGGACAGGGAGGGTCAAGGACCAGGTGGCTGCGAACAAAACAAGGAGGGGTCTTTCTTCAAGTCTTGAGTGGGCCCAGTTGACAGAGAGAAGAAAAGAAAAAAGGGATCAGATAGAAAGAAAGGGGGATGGAGAGAGAAGCAGGAGAGGAAGAGTGAAGATGACAGATATAGAGGAAAGAGGAGGAAAGGCGACCAAACAAGCTCTGTTAGGGAGGAAGAAATGAAGCGATACCTTTGGAGCTGCTGTTCTCCATTGTGTAGAGATAATCCATGTAGAAAGCCCCAAAGCGCTGCATGCCCGCTATCTCTGTGTAGGTCTCCTATCACACAAAAAGTCCAGTTAGGTAAACATGGCAACAAGGCAGCAAACAGACTGATAGCCTCTAAGAGTGGCAATGACTGGGGGGTCAAGGGAGATATGGTAGTGGGGGTCACATCAGAGATAAAAAGCCATTGAGTGGCACAACTACTTAGCTGAACATTTGCTTTTGGTTTGTTGTTTCTCTGAATGGCCCAATAAAAAAAAATAAAAATCACAGAAACTTAGGAAGACATAAAATTGTAAATGAAAGGAAATGTACATTTTATAAATTTCTCAACTGACAAAGCTGAAAACTTTGCGATTAATTTGAATCTAAATTGGCAAAAAATGTCTCATAATTTACTGCAAGAAGACATTGGTTAATAACAGAAAATCCTACTTTATTCACCCTTTATGCATTTCTAACTATTAAGCCTTTATAGGGCACTCGGTGAAATACTTTGAAAATCAAAATTTCAAGCTTGGAATCCAGGACAAGACCTTATTGCCTTCGTAACATTTAAAAATATGGATATTTTGATGGCAAAAATCTACGTCAATGTAATAACAAGAAACACCAACTTGCGCAAATATTTTAAGAAAAATAACTCAAGTACTTCTATAAGAAATTCATGAAAAAAAAACTCTGAGACTGAAGGAAATAAATTTTTTTGGTAAACCACATTTTTTAGTTCATAAACCTAAATATAATTGTTAACTAAGCTTATTAACTTTACTTTTTAACTCTTCAATTAGCTTTTTTCTCAAGTTAATTTTTTTTAACTTAATTTACAGTAGGAAATATATCATTCAAGGGCTCATCTAATTGGTCAAATGCAAAAAAAAAGATGTCCAGTTATGTAGCAGCATCTTTTCTGAACGTCTGGATATAGATCTTGTGCTTCTAGACCTCACTGAGGGATGATGGGACTCCATTTGTAAGGGGCATGCAACTAATCAAAAACGATAACTTGCCTTATACTTGTCTGGATTTTACCTAATAAATAACACAGAAAATACAGATTCACTCTGAATAAACTAATTTCATTACATTATAAAAGAAGAAATAGTAAAACAAAATAAAGCTCAACGGTTGAAGCCAAGTTTCAAGCATCCAGGAAATGTAAACAACTAACACCCTCCAAAACTATCAGTTTGATTTTTACTTAATAACAAAATTACGAGAAAAAGTTAAACCTAATAAAGCTGCTGTTTTTTTTAAATAAATTTATTTTCAAGCTTCTGTAAAAAAAAAAGTGTTTTTCTAAACGTTATATGTTGCTCGTTAGTCAAAAGGTCAGAAGGTAAGACGCTCGTGCTAAACAACGTTAGAAAGTTTGATTCTGAATGACAAAACCACTGAAAGGATTAAACAAACGTTCATTCCTCCCATTCAACACCCCGGCTAACATTTACCCAACAGCCCAGCTTATCAGGGAGAAGGTTAATGATTAATATTTATTAGGGGATTTCTAATGGATGGGGCAGGCTGCTGGATCAAAGTCAGCCTGGTTTCTAAATGATGATTTAACTCCACCAACCCTCTAGTTAGTCTAAAACTTCCAAGTACAAACAGAAGGGGGGGTGGAAGGATGGATGGACATCCAAACGCTGCTTTATTGAGGGTCATGAACATTTGAAAGAGTCAACATGCTGCTGGGGGGTGGGGGGTCAAGAGAGATGAGGATTATTAACAGATTTTAGCGGGACCCTTCCAGCGAGGTGAGCTCAGCTATTTCATTTACAGTAGAACCAATTCAGCCACGATCATGTTTCAAGTTGGACACAACCAAAAAGCTGTCCTCTTCTCAGCATCAATCTTAAAATAAACACCAACTCATCTCTGAGCTCTGTGGGTTTGTGCAGATTACGGTTACCTTGTGATTAGCAGAGTCTAGGATGAACTCTGCTTTTACTCCATTGTTCTCTGGACTGCGGTAGTCAAACAAGGAGTTGGTAAGGTAGGTCATTCCTTTACTCTTTAGATTGTCTCCACAGCTGAAGAACACTGCATCCTTTAAGGAGAAGAAATGATGAGCTGGTTGGGGGGCTTTAATGTAAGAATTTAAAAGATGAAGCAGATTTAAACTAAAATAAAAATGTATTTTTCACCCCATATATGACTAAATGTTGCAAGTCTTATAATCTGAAATCTAAAAGAAGTTATTTTGATCTTGGTTTGAGATCAATATGATAAAACAAGATTGTTAATCTTATTTAAAGAACATTCTGCTCAGAATAAGTGCAATAATCTGCCGGTACAATAAGACAATTTCACTTAGACTTCCTGTTTAGAGAACAGATATGATGATTTCAAGAAGTCTAAAAAAGTGAATCAGTGTTACTGAATCCACAAATTATTGCTCTTATTTCTGAGCAGAATATTCTTAAAAGAAGATTAATAATCAATCTTGAAACAAGTTAAAAACAACACTTTTTTTACAAGATATAAGCTAAGAATTAGGCCAAAACATTTTGCAGTGAATTTTTTGGAAAGCAAATTTATTTTTTTTTTTTTCCAAGTTGTCCTCCAGATCTTCCATGCTTCTTTTTTTTTTACCTCCTCACGTCTGTTCAGATTTTCTTCAAAGTCTCGAACTCCCATGATGCCTTTCAGGCACAGAGCCCGGCAGCCGACGAATCCGATCTGGCAGTTAAAGAAGGGTTCCCCCATCATGAGCACCTGAACATAAAACCAGGAAAGAAATGTCAATCAACTGCTAAACTCCAGTTAACCAACCGGCCATGGAAACACTGTTTGCACAGCCAGTTTTAAAAGTTACAGCCAATAGTCAGGTTCACAATTTGAAGAACTATACAGCAGATCAGTGCCATTATTTATCTCATTATTAAAACGTTTGAGTACCAATCAAAACAAAAATCACAGTGGATGGTAAAAATCCCAGATGACTGCAAGAAGAACAACAAGCTCTCACAACTACAGTAGCAGCCATTTAAAATGGCCCTTCCCAGTCAAACTTCAGCCGAATGGCAGCCCAATTCCGTGCGATTCCTAGCAGAATCCCCTCCAACTTCCAGCCACTGGCCTTCTTCTGGGAATGTAGTTATTTTTCTCTGATTTCACCCTTTCACTGAATTACAGGGTTTGACCAGGAGACATTAGATCTTAATGTCCATGAATCATGACAGAAAGAATATTTTAGTACAAAGATTGATGTTTAAAAAGGAATGGTAAGGGACCAGCCAATGGCCCATTAAGGAAAGTCAGGAAAATTTGAATGGCTACTACTGTATAGAGCATCAGGTTTTCCCAAGCACTCTTCATTTAATTCAATCTGCAGTATGGAGCCCACATGGGTGCGGCTCAACACCTTCCTAACTGCTATTTTCCTCGACTGTGACAATTACAACATTATTTTGATGAGAGATGAGAAAATCTTAGTATGTAGTCCGTTAGGTGTTTAGTGCGTAATAAATGGCGAATGTGAGCCATCAATCACCATCGGTAGGCATGAAGTCATTGATGCACCTTGGCGCCGCCAAGGTACCAAATACTTTATTCAGTTAGAAACCACTCGAGCATCTATGGACAGACTTTTACGGTGCAAAAAATCTAAATCTAGATAAGTCATTTTTTTATTAAAATAAGTGCATTTGTTCTTGAATTGAGGTGAAAAAAGAGACATTCTGCCAATGGAACAAGACAATTAACACTTAAAATAAGAAAACACAATTGCATTCTCTTATTTCAAGTGCATATTATCTAATTATCTTATTTTAAGAGTAACATTTCTCATTCCATAGGCAAACTATCTCATTTACCTACTCAAATTAAGAGTGAATACACTTAATTTAGGAATTTTTTACTTATTTCTAGATGGTTATTGCAGTGACAAGAAACAAAAATGCCCACAGAATGGGAGAGATTAATACTAAAGATAAACTATAAAAACAATTTGTAGCATCTAATAATATTTTACCTGAATCAAAACAGCAGAATTTAATAATGTTATGTTATAAAGTTGAACTTAAAGACCGATAGCAGAGAGATATAGAGAATTAGGTTGTGTATAAATAAATGCAGGGAGGGATTCATTTTAGATTCAATGAAAAAAAACATTACGATTGAGGAGGATCAGTGAAAGCTTTGCCCATGTGTGACGTATTTAGTTTGGATAACAGAAAGAAGTCGCTCTTCTCTCTCTGACTGTAGGGACGGTTCACGGCTGAGTCTGACTACCTGTCTGTGCTTTGGAAGAGGAAGAGGAGAACAGCAGCACTCAACACTCACCGAGGACACTAAACCCAGACCTATGGGTGAATCATATATTATATATGGGTGACTCTGGTCAAAGTCTCCAACAACACAAAAAAGTTACTAGATTTGTCAGTAGTTGCATTTTTGAACTATAAGCTGGTGAAGATTCCCAGTCATCCAGGTCATAGTCATTTTAAAAAAGTTCAAAAACAATCCACTGGACTTTGTTTCCAAGTTTGAAGATGGTTTGCTTCCCATCCTGGAATCTTTTTCAATTCAAATGTCAGAAATAGCGTTGAGTTCAAGGCTTTATAGAGTGGAACAAAAACAAAGCCTTGTTTTAGCTTAAAAAACATGCAAACTGAACCGGACGAATGGGTCCGCCCATAGGAATCGGCAGTCGTTTGTGTTACAGCTCAGGCTAACAAAGAACCCAAATGTTCCTTCATCCAGTTCAATTTGCATGTTATCTAAGCCAAAACAAAGCTTCCTGGATGGGAAACGAAACATCTTCAAACTTGGAAACAAAGTCCAGTGGATCATTTTTTCACATTTTTGGAAAGCAGCCATAAGTCACAAGAAAGTGTTTTCCGGTTTTGGGGGCTTTGACAAAACAAGAGCCTTATTGTCAGAAGTGTCACCAAACATTTCATAACAAATATCCTTTGTAGTGCCAAAGGCAGTATAGCTGAATTAGGAAGGCATATTAACATAATACAAGACCTTTTTGAGAAGGAGTTTACAGGCTTTTATATTAAAGTTGGATAAGTAAAAACAAACAAAAAGAAGAGTGCATGAAAGAATCTGTTAAAAGTCTAAGCTATGAAAAAGGGGAGAAGGACTACAGTCCTACATTGGTCTCTTCTCATGACCCTGTCTACATGGAGTTACCAAATTAATATGGATTTGATTTTAGAAAAACAACGGATGATAATAGATGCATTTATACATCTGTGAGCTTCAAAACTAAAAAAAAAGGGTTTTAGCCCAAATCTTTTAAACCGCTAACAGTTTAGTTGTACTTGAACATATTATGCTTCGACTGAAATGAAAAAATGAGAATGAAACCTGGGAGATCTTCCCTTTGAATTGTTAAATTCAGTGACCTGACTAAATGCTTTCTAGGAACATTTCAATGAAGAATAAAGCGAGCCTCTGTTTTCCTTTCATATTACTCTGCATGTTCGGCATTTAGCCCTCATTAGTGCTCATCCACCCAGCAAACAGCTGAGATGTGACTCACGTGTGGCTGAACCCTCCCACCCTCACCAACCTTACTTTAGGTTTTGTATTTGTTCCAACTTCAGAATACCGACCCCCCCACCCATGTCCAGCAGGAGCATAAATTACAGAAATTGGAAATCTGTTTGAATTTTCACATCTGGAAGAAACCCTAAAGGAGAAACTTCCTTCCAAGTCAGTCCAGGTAATCAGACTAAAAGCGTTCTCGGTGGAAAAAGGGCGGAAATGATCAGACTTGGGTCCAAGTCATACACCACACACTGCAGACTGCGAAGCGGTGAGCTGGCAGAACTTTAAACATCTGAGATCAGTTCAGAGTTGGTATCCATCAAATGCAAACATTTTACTTAAACAGATATACCACTGTGATTTATACTAAAATAAATAAAAAGGAAAGCTATTTTCGGGTGCTTTGTTATCTTGCTGTAATTTGTCCAAATGAATATTTCCCATTTTTCACACAATGATAACCAATGATCTGTTCTATAAACTCTTAATTAGGCAAACGTAGGAAAATGTCAGATTTTGTATTCATTAGAAGAAAAGCAGATGATTTGGTTTCTAAGTTTAAAAGTATACCAAAAGGACAGTCCAGCATGTTAGCAAACCAGTCTGTCAGATGAGCATACCCTGTCAGACCAGAATACCCATGCGCAAGATTTACTTTTATCGCCATACGCTTCAAAAAACTCCAAAAAGTAAGTAATTAAAAAGTTTTTTGTACATGACTAAAGGGGATTATACCTGTTGAGGTAGTTTAAAGTTTATTTTTCGTACAGAAACTAAAGGGATAAACTAAAGGGATAAATGGGAATGACTATGGGTGTGGTGGTTTGACCGGGTACGCTCATCTGGCAGAACACCGGCTGTAAAAATCATACCTCAATGGTGATTCCCTCCTGCTCCAAACACAGAACCTCTCTGGATTTGACTTTCTGAGGACTGTAGTAGCTGCTCTCCAACTGTGTATCTGTCAACTAATACAGACATGAACAGAAAAAAACAATATCACTGTTAATAAAGAGCTTTGTTCATTTCAAACAACATTTACTTTAATTACAGCACAGGTCAGAGGGAAATAATCAATCACCACCATGTTTAAAGGTAATGTTTACAGTGCTGTTACATCTCTCATTTCTGTTCTGACCAAAGGCTTTTAAATTGAGGCTTTTCGAAGCGTTACTCGTTATATTAGGAAAAGAAATGGAAGAAGCAGAAATGTTTCAGTCAGGAGTGAATGAAAGACCGAACACCTGGCTAAAATGATCTGGCAACAGGACAGTAAGGAGCAGCGATGCTCCTGATGTTGGTTAAAAAGCTGGGTGTAGACCAGAATTCAACCCATTCAACTTTAACACAGGAAGCAGGTGCAGAGCAAAAGCAGCTGTGGCTTATTATTGTAACGGAGCAGACTCCAAACCCCGCCCCCCCCGCCCCCCCTCGTTTCTGTTTCTGATAGCTTAATCACATTCAGAAAAAAACTCTCCACCAAATATAATAGTAAAAGGAATGTCAAATTATCTGCTTCAATTATGGCTCGTTCTAGCAACACAAAGGCTCAGTGTTACTGTTACTAAATACTTTAGTTTATTAGTTTATTTCAAAAACTATATTACACAAAAAAATAAGCCAAAGAACACATCAAATACTGACAGGTTTTACATTATAACAACAATTTTTTATGTTCTCAACTGAGTAAGAAATTATTAATCCACAGAAAACTACACCTGTAAATAACTAACAGTTAAGGCACTAATAGACAGTAAATATTAGGGATGGAACGGTTTATGAAAACCGTCTGAACCGTTCGGTTCGACTGTCTCGATTCGGTTCGCATGTGTTTCGTTCAGTTCATGCGCTGCTCCTTTTTCTCATAGGCGAAGCGATTACACTCCAGAGCAGAAGGTGGCGGTACTGCGACCAAAGCCAACCACCAGTAGTAAACAAGAAGAAGAAGAAGCGAAGCAGCGTAGCCGGGTGTAGCAGAAAAAAATCAATGGAGAATTGTGTGGGTATGGCGAGTGGGAAAGAACAGGAGTTGGAAGACGCGCCAGCAGCACTTTATAGGTCTGCTGTATGGGACCGCTTTGCATTTAGAGTGACCTACAATGATGGCGGGAAGAAAGTTATGGATAAAAGTGCAACAATGTGCAAGCATTGTGCAACACGTTTTGTTTATGCTAACAGCAACACGACCAACATGTCAGGCTAACAATCAACATATACCGAACCGAAAACCGTGACCACGAAACCGTGAAGCGAACCGAACCGAGGATTTTGTGAGACGTTCCACCCCTAGTAAATATTAGTAGCATAAAAACAGGCTACAGTCAATTGCAGTTAGGTGAAGAATTTCTGATAAGGTATGAATCTCATAAAAAAAAAACAAGTAACAAGTTTAAACGTGTAAAACTACAGAAACACATATTTAAATACGTGTGTGTGTGCATATCTGTGCTCTGCAGAAGAACTTGACGAATGAATGTGAAGAATGTGGCGGTTCTAGACAAAATTTACAAGTTGGACTGGGGGGGCAGGGTTTTATTTCATGGGGGCACATAACAGATAAACAAACAGGGGAAGAGTGAATTGATTATTATATATCTCTTCTTTCAGCACATATTGTCATAATGAATTATTATAAATGTATTTAAATAACTCCATTTCCCCCTAATCTGAGTAGGTAATTATGACTATCTGCCAAAATAAAAGACTTTTTGCTCTTTAAAATTAGATAAAAATTATGCACTTGAAATAATTTTATGGAGCTTTTTTTTTTTTATAAATCCTCTAATTCCAGTGGCAAATCTTCTAGCTTGCTCAAATCAAGGGACGGTATACTTATTTCAAGAAAAATGAATTTTTTTTTGTGTATATTTATGTAGTACAGGGCCAGGGACAGTTGTAAAGGGTTTTTAAATATATCAAGGGATATAAGGATATGATCACTGTATCATATCAACCGAAACTGAAAAATATACTGTTACAGACAGAAAGATGGATGGGTAGATAAATCTAGTAAAAGGACATTAAATCTGGCATCCAGCAGGAATTCAACAGGTGCTTAAACAAAGAAAGGAAACAACTGACCGAGCTTAATTGATGAATAATGTCTAAAAGTTAAAAAATTACACTGCCTTTTTCCCCAATGATCAAAGGCATTTTGGAAGTAGTGTGTCAGGGATCTAAAAATACATCTCTCATTTCACATTCATGTCAAAGTCATGTTCAGGCAGTGGCTGTTCAAAGACGTAAAATTGCTTCAAACTAAATGCTTCCTTTAGGAAAGAAACAAGAATGTAAAAAAAAAAAACTCTTCCTTTCAGCTGCCTGCAATTACTCCAAAAGAGAGGCAATTAATTGATTAAAAGAACTCAAACAATACAGGAAAAGTTTAAACATTAGAAAAACACCAAGGTTTATGTGGCCTGAGAACTAGCTCCCTTCCAATAATCACGCACACTGTCAAATGTGTGCACACACACACACACACACACACACACACACACACACGAGCACAGCCATGCACACAGAGGTGGTGTCTGAGATATGTGAGCACACACACATACACGTGTGCACTACCATAAGAGAGGAAATATGCACACTACTAGTAATCTGATATCTATGGCATAATTGTGCAGGAATTCCAATTATTTAGTGTTAAGACCTGAAACTTTTACATTTTGGCAGATTTTTATAAATATTTTGCTTTCTGTTAACATTTGAAACAATGATATAACTAGATACAGCATCTGTTAGCTACACTAGCCTCTTTGATGCTTTACAAAGCATGGGGAAATGAATGTGTGCTCATCCTGTGGGACAGAAAAGAGAACAGTGTTTACATAAGGACAACTTAAATAGGTGTGAAATCGGTTCAGCCATAAACAACCTTTTCATTTTAAACTGTGATCCATAGTGAAGCAGTTTTGTGCTTTTAGCAAATTTACCTTGAAGGTTATCGAAGCTTTGGTGCAGTAGAAGCCTATGGAAACAATGGGGTCTTTAGACGTGTGCTGCTGAGGGTTGTTGGAAAGGCCTTCAGTTTCCCCCTGGCTGTAGAGGCCTCCCTCCCCTTCTTCCTCTGCTCCTACGATGGCAGGGACAAAGGACCAAGCCCAGGACATCCAACCCTGATCTGCATCTTCAGGGCTCCCAGACTCCATGTAAAGCTCCTGGCTGGAATACTGGCTGGAGCCCAAACTTTCCATTTCAGCATCAGTGCCTGAAATGATAAAAGTCCTAATTAGTTTAGAAAAAGCAAACCAAAGCAGATGCTTTTCTTTAGGAGGAAAAAGAATCACAGCTGTGCCTGAATGATGAATGCCTACTTGGACACGTGAGTCGACTTTTTATGGGCATTTACAGGCTAGATTTCTAACACAAAGCCATGACCACGAAAGAGAAAAGCATCCAGAACTGATAGAAATCAATGACCGAAGGAAAAGATAAAAACAAAACGATCACACTGTGTTAGCGAAGGTTTAAGTCCCATGGTTAAATCAATTTAAACTGCAGAACAAACTTGTTTTACAGAGAAAACAGTTCATGGTGGAAGTATTTATACTCCTGGCAGAACGGTCAATTTGTCCATGTCTACGGCAAACAGGTTGTTACAGCTGCAAGCTAAAAAGCAAAACCAGCACAGATCAATGCCACCGGTGGGTCAGTGTGTTGCTGGAATGCAGAGACAGGGGAAGTCCATTCCAACTGATGCCAGAGAGCAAAGCAAGTCAGCCAGCATCCTGACAGAGCCCTTGACTGGGCCCACTGATCAAGGCTACATGCACTGAACCAACAGCCCAGGCTGCCTCCGCAAATACAGCCAAATTTGATTAGAGGCCAACAAAAAAATCCCTGAAACTATAAAACTAGCAAAGCCAGCTGTATAGCAGGGCTGTGAGCAGGGCTTAAGGTGAAGGCTGAAAAAGATCAACAATGAGGGTTCACAACTGGTCAAGGAGGTGCTGGTGATGTTAACAGAGCCGCCGGTTAATCTGAAGGGAAGACACAGGCTTACATTTTTAGAAAAAGTATTAAACAGCAAAACTGCACCTTTAGGAAAGACCTAGCTTATGATCTCATGTCTAGAAGATCACAGTTACCCTCCAGAACCAACTAAAAAATATTTTTTCACTGCAATTTGAGCAGGTAAATAAGATGATTTGCCAATTAAATTAGTTTTCTTACTCTTGAAATAAGATAGACAAGATGCACTTAAAATTTTCTAATTCTAAACGTAAATTGTCTTGTTTTATTGGCAAAGTGTCTCACTTACCTCCTCAATTCGAGAAAAAAATGCATTTATTTACAGAGAAAAATCAACTTATTGAGATTTTGTTTTTTTTTTAAAGTTTACTAACCAGAACAAGATAAACACTAAGTGATGAAAATGTAAAGTTTTTTTTTTCTTTTTCTTGCTTCTGCTATATAAGCTCACTCCATGTTTTGTTCTAATCATCTTCCAGTCATCAGGTTTCGGTTTCACAGACCCTCCAAACCCAAAGAACTCCACACCTGGCCACACCTGGCCTAAGATTGCTCTCCCTGTCTACTAGTGGGGCCAAACGTGTTCGCCTGCCTGCGACTCCACTCAGATTAGAACAGAGCTGATGACAGAATCTGAAGGGAGTGCGGTCCATGTTTTGTAGCATTGCGCTGACAAACACGTTCTGAAAATGGGCAAACATTTCTTCAAATAAGTGTATTTACCCCTAATTTGAGTAGAAAAAATAAGATTATATGCTAATAGAATTAGTATTTTTACCATTAAAATAAGATAATTAGTTATTATGCACTCAAAATAAGAGACTGAAGTTGTTGTTTTTTATTTTAAATGTAAATTGTCTTATTCCATTGACAAGGTGACTCTTATTTGCTCAATTCTTCCTTATTTTAAGGAAAATTGACTTACTTGGATTTACATTTTTTGCAGTGTATATGTGCAAATAAGAAAGTTAAAGGGTTTTAAAACATTGTTTCTGTTGCCAAACCGTTGTTACCCTCATTAAATTTTGACAATCATCCTTATTTCAGTGTGACTGAAAACCTTTCAGTGAAACAAGCCGTTGTGCTAAAACGCGTTGATCGGAACTCTGAGAGAGAGAGCCAAAATAAAAAAATAGGAGTATCGGCCTAATTTCAGCATAGTGGTGACAACTTTCAACTTTAAAATGCGCTAGTAGGAACCCTAGAATGAAGATTGGAGTAATTCAACAACTAAGGCAACATTTAAATTGTGCAACATTATTTCAAGATAAACTTTCTTACTATCAGTAAGTAATCTAGGTGTTAAGCAGTAAATAGACTGGATGCATAACATGGCAAAGTGGCATATGCACATACACTATATTGCCAAAAGTATTTGCTCACCCATCCAAATTATTGGAATCAGGTGTTCCAATCACTTCCATGGCCACAGGTGTATAAATTCAAGCACCTAGGCATGCAGACTGTTTTTACAAACATTTGTGAAAGAATGGGTCGCTCTCAGGAGCTCAGTGAATTCCAGCGTGGAACTGTGATAGGATGCCACCTGTGCAACAAATCCAGTCGTGAAATTTCCTCGCTCCTAAATATTCCACAGTCAACTGTCAGCTGTATTATAAGAAAATGGAAGTGTTTGGGAACGACAGCAACTCAGCCACGAAGTGGTAGGCCACGTAAACTGACGGAGCGGGGTAGGCGGATGCTGACGCGCATAGTGCGAAGAGGTCGCCAACTTTCTGCAGAGTCAATCACTACAGACCTCCAAACTTCATGTGGCCTTCAGATTAGCTCAAGAACAGTGCGCAGAGAGCTTCATGGAATGGGTTTCCATGGTCGAGCAGCTGCATCCAAGCCATACATCACCAAGTGCAATGCAAAGCGTCGGATGCGGTGGTGTAAAGCACGCCGCCACTGGACTCTAGAGCAGTGGAGACGCGTTCTCTGGAGTGACGAATCGCGCTTCTCCATCTGGCAATCTGATGGACGGGTCTGGGTTTGGCGGTTGCCAGGAGAACGGTACTTGTCTGACTGCATTGTGCCAAGTGTAAAGTTTGTTGGAGGGGGGATTATGGTGTGGGGTTGTTTTTCAGGAGCTGGGCTTGGCCCCTTAGTTCCAGTGAAAGGAACTCTGAATGCTTCAGCATCCCAAGACATTTTGGACAATTCCATGCTCCCAACTTTGTGGGAACAGTTTGGAGCTGGCCCCTTCCTCTTCCAACATGACTGTGCACCAGTGCACAAAGCAAGGTCCATAAAGACATGGATGACAGAGTCTGGTGTGGATGAACTTGACTGGCCTGCACAGAGTCCTGACCTCAACCCGATAGAACACCTTTGGGATGAATTAGAGCGGAGACTGAGAGCCAGGCCTTCTCGTCCAACATCAGTGTGCGACCTCACAAATGCGCTTCTGGAAGAATGGTCAAAAATTCCCATAAACACACTCCTAAACCTTGTGGACAGCCTTCCCAGAAGAGTTGAAGCTGTTCTAGCTGCAAAGGGTGGACCGACGTCATATTGAACCCTATGGATTAGGAACGGGATGTCACTTAAGCTCATATGTGAGTCAAGGCAGGTGAGCAAATACTTTTGGCAATATAGTGTATGTTTGAAAACTGAAATGTAGACCAGCTGCTGAAGAGAAAGTAACAGGTTCAGCAACGGGGCTCTGAGCAAAGCTTTTGTGACGTGGGTAAGCAAATTAAACAATACTATGTGTGAAAGTTATGAATCTTAACAAAAATCCACATTTAACCAATCTGATGAGAAATCAAATACGCATTTTGTTAGCATGTCACAACTACCAACATTTTCTGGTTCAGCGGCAATAACTGTAGGTTTGGGGTATTATCTTGTAAAAAAGCACCAAGTAGAAGACGCACCTTGGCCTGAAGTGAACTATGAAACACAATGTTGTTTCTGTTTCTTCCTAGCCCAAAATGGAGTGTATCCGCATCTGAAATTAGAAACTCTAAGGAACTCTAGGAACAATATCTACGCGCCTAATAGGGAAGTTGAACGAGCCTAGTAGGCGCCCTGTATTAATCATTTTACTGTTTAAAACAGAAAGCTGTGACACGCTGCTTTGTTGCACTTACCTGCTGTTACGGTGTGTTAACTGTATAGAGTTTAAAAACCAAAATTGCCGATACAGTTCGTTATAAACAGGTGCCATTATCGATTGACCCGGATCCCAGAAATGTGCTGCCAATTTTGGGGCGCTGATTCCTGCCTGAGTTGCTTTTTATTTTTCCATTTACATGGTCAAATTTTACATAATTCTCAATTTTAACAAAAAAGAGACATTTATTAACAACTCAACCTAAACATTAGTGATGAACAGCGAACGGGGAGCGGCAATGAATGAGCATCATGTGATCTCAAGGCATTGCTGCTAAAAGCACTAATAAATCTGCAAACAAATCACATATCACCCGATGCTAATATAAGAAAAAAACAGCTAATATCCGAAATTATAAGTCGGACCTTGTATCGATTTACCTCTAAAGAAAAGTCATTAAAGCCTAAACTATAATACTTCGAATATAAATGAAATAGATATTCCTTATACTCCTCAATTGAAGATTTTCACCCATACAGACAGGATTTAAAATTTCAAACAAAAGTGCTGGAACACATGTTTGACTGCAGGCAGTGACAACATGAGGCATCGGTGAGCCATAGTCAATTCTACATATGTTCCCATTGACTGATTATTTCTCGTTTTACTTCTTTCAGTAGTGGCACCTGATTAAAACTTAACGCAAACAGAGAGAGGTAGGGCAGCTAAATTAACCTGTTTTTTTAACCCTCTATGTAAACTAGAGAGGGATGAGTAAAATAGGATGCTTTGAGGAGTAAAATCTTGACTAAGACGCACAGAAATAGATTTACATTTTTTTCTAAATCTATTCTGTAATCAAAAACCTGCAAAAAGCAGTATTATGTTTCTTTTTTGTGATTCACTGATTCAAACATAACTTACACTATGTCAAAGAAAATAACTAAATCATGCAATTAAAAATGGTGACTTCTAATCAGTACACAAATGACCAAAATAATAAAATTTGGTTGTTTGTGGCTTTTTTACCCCCACACCCCTCTGATTCATATCTTGACCTTTGACCTGGTCCTATCACTTCTGTTTCCATACATGTCAAGGTAGAGGAAATTGATGTCAATACTGAAGAATGTGTAATCCCATTCCTTACCGCCTTGTGTCCTTCTCAGAAACAT